CATTATATAATAATTTCTTATCTTTCGTATCTTCTGTCCAAATGATTTACATACTTATTCGATGTACGTCGACTGCGGTCAACGCTCGTGCTGAAGAGATTAAATACAGGTGCGTTTGACTTGCAACGAGGATTCGTTGGCTGATATTTGCGGATTTGCGTGAAATAGTTGCTTCTTTCAAACAACGAAAGTATAATTACCTTCAGGCAAATTATCATATTCGTTTGAAAAAGTGAAAGCTCGGCACGCGTTATCATCGGTTTATGTTTCTTTAATACGACAAGTAACAATTTATTTGAAACAAAAGGGAACGAGAATTTTCAATAATTTGTAATTTAACTGGAGAAATAAAAATCAGAAAAAATAAAATATCGAGAATTTGTTATTTTACATTGTTCAATTTACTTTTGCGTAACACGTGTGGTTTCGCGAAACCGCATCCTTTTCAGCTGTGCTACAATTTACGGTACATCCGTACTGAAAATGTATCAAACAGTTTGAAACTTCAAGTTGGCGGGTAAAACTCTGATAATTCCCTCTCACAAGAATCTAAACTCAGGGTTACACATCACTTTCACTTCACCCTGTATAAATCGCAGATATTATGCTATACATGCGGTTGCGTTTCATAGACCCGTCGAAAGTTCATCAAGTTCAAATTCCCGCGTCAGGTTTAGCGAGTTTAAGCTGCTCCCAGTTCCTAATTGCGGTCTCCCCTTCGACCTGGCTTTGATGCCCTCCATCCTGTGCCCCTATATATCAGACCAGCAACCCTTTGGAGTGGCGTGCGGACTGGTTATGGACTAGTTAGTCGATGCAGTGCTGCCGGCAGTGGACTCTTCGGCGCCTCACGCTACCCTCGTTGCAGACTCTATGGCGCCCCTTCTCATCCCTTTCTCTTCACGTTCTTTCCCTCTCTGTCTTTTTCCCCTTTATTCTTTCTTTTTGGCTTTCCATGGTCGAGCGGACGGCACGTGTCGCTAAAATGAGGCCGATAAACCGAGTTTTTGCTGAATAATTGATAAATATTGTATCGATTGGCACTGCGTGTAATCGACTTTCTCTTCAATCGAATACACACTGTGATCGTAAAGCGAGATAGATACCGGCATTTATTAAACTTAATTTATTTTCTTTTTTCTCGAATTAATTCGTATATTTTTTATTTGAAAAATATGTTGGCAAATTCAAACGTGCTTCGGAATCGACGCGTTACGTGGAAATTACCCACGACCCATTATTTTATCATTCGCTTGGCCCCTCGTGCACAACGATCGACTGATCCACCCCCTGTTCCACCCTTACGATAATGGTCGGACGACCAGAAGCGTAGGAGGTCTTTTCGAGTTCGTGTCACGACACGGTCTGGTCACGCACGCTGCTTGTTTGTTGAAAACACGATGGCGCTAGTAAAAATAAATCTTGTAGTTAGGAGAAACGAGCGGTCCATGATCGGTCACACCACGTAACTCCAGTGCCGTGTATTTCCTCGCGACTTTCATGTTAACGGGTAGCTTAAAAGTCGTTCCATTTAGGAAAAATTCACAGTAGGAGATACACGAGTGTTCCTTAAAGAGAACCAACAGCGATATTTCATACTCGCGTTCTTTTCCGATCGTTTCCACGAAGGGGATTGAAATCGTTTGATCGAATGGCTCGTCGAGATCGAATGCATCACGCGAGACGGCGGGAATTGATCGAGTTATCGCGTGGACGAAAATGTTTCCGGCTGTTCGACAGCGCAGGAAATTGCCTCCGTGTTTTTAACGAAAAATTCACACGGCAACGGGACCCTGGCTGGCAAACAACATTGTCAAAGCGAACGAATTCGCCGCGAAGAATCGCAGACATTAATATTCATCATTCCTCGAACACGCTGGAAAATATAAAGAAAGGAAACAAAGTGCCAGCGTTCCCTGGAGTATTTTAATCTCATCGAATGACTTGGTTCAAATTGTTCAATACCATCGCAATTTTTAACTCCGATCGGACCTACGATTTCCTCGATTCAGATACATATTTGCAACTTCATTTATAGCAAAGTAAGAAATTTACAATCGGCTTATATGAATTTCTATCGAGAAATCGGTTTATTAAATAATTTATTAGTTACGAAACATGAGTCTCGCGAGCCTATCGTTGCGGATCCTTTCAGCCAGGTAATTTTTTAATCTTCTACGTCTCTTTGCTTTCGAAATCGTTACATCTGCTCAAAGTCCGTAGCTTTTCAAAATCGTTTGTGGCTTTTAGTCACGTCGTCGGTTTTGAAATTGTTATTTTCGACGAACGCTTCTCTATTTGTAGTCGCATCGATCACGATATTTATCCGCAGTCCCGTATAATCAATAGTCACTTGAATGCATGTTTCCTGCGTGGAAAATCGCCAGTCGGATTAAACCCGAAACATGAGCTTTATTTTTGGAAATTGTCAACAGCGTGCAACGTCACTGTCGTTAACGTTCCACGATATACAAAATTGAAAGATCCGTTAGTGTTCTTTAACGATGCGATCGTTAACGATTGCGTATTCTGTTGCTCAAGCCGGTTTCCGTGACGCAGGTTTCGTGCCTCGTGATTCTTTAACGAGCCGCGAACGAACGCCACCGCCTCCTGTTCCTTTTGCGCTTTTCCCGTCGTCTCTTCCCATCACCGCAATGAAATCGAAACGACGAATCGCGCGCACGGGCCGCTGGTCACCCTTCGCCTACGAATCGCCCCGGTAAATTATTAACGTCGCGTGTCGACCGGTCGACTATCGATTCGTCCTGTCCATTCGTTCCTTCTCCCGACGTTTCTTCGCTTTTTTTTTCAATTTCCACACTGTGTTCGTCGTAAAAATGGCGACTTATGACGATTTCGGTTTGTTCGTTTCAATTATTTTCTATGAATAGTAGAATGCACGTGTTTGCTTTTCGATAGAAAGTGTATAGCATTATTTATTAAAACTGTGCAATACAACGCATTATCGATATAGAGTTTCATATGTTTTATACGATAGTATCGTCGCGAGGTTATGATATTTTGCGGAGATATATTCGCTGTCTATGCTGAAATACATTTCGTGGAAATCGATGCGCGCAACTCGATAACATATCTGAAATTCGTCATATTTTTTGGAATTTGCCAGCAAAGAGGATGAGCACAGTTAAACATCTCTGTATGATGTCATACGGCGTTGACTTTTATTAAAGTATGCTTGGCATCGATAAGCAGAAGAGAGACTATGCAAAACTTTATTATTCTTCAACTTTGGAACTAGTCTCGTCTTTCGTTCTACGTATTCTGTTTTTATCGTCCTCGTCCCATGCTGCGTTCTTGAACTTCTCCTTGTGCCTTCGCATTTCTTTAAAACGCAAGACAAAGAAGAAGACCTACTTTCATTCGATATCACTGTTCCGCTCGATTCTCGCGAGTTTTATTATTTCATAGCCAAAGAAGCTAATTCCACGGAGGCAGAAGGAATTTCGCTTGCCAGCGACAGAAATCTGACGTACTCTCGATTGCCAGAATTGCGAGATTTTTCTGGTTTATCGCCGGTAATACGACGCTCGCGGCGATCGGAAGGAAGCAATTTCGAAGCCCTAATCGCGTCATGAATCTCGGTGACTCAGGGACTCGCGCGCTTCAAGCATTCCACGGCACGCGGAAAGGAAATATCGTTTGCTTTGGCCGAATTAATAGCGCTGGTCGCGATATAAATCCGTTGTAACTGATCCGTGTTTTTGTACGAGATTTTCGCATACTTTGATCGGTGTGAGAAGTTTCTGTCTTGCCACTTGTTTCCTCGTCTTATTTCTGAAATACATTTATTCTCTGTCGCATCGTGAATTATGTGGAATAATTAATTATTCACTATACTATATGACGCAAAACTGTGTCGGAAAATAACGTAGAAAAAATGTACGCATTACGATAATAGATACGTTATAGAGGCCTGTTAAATAAATCAGAAAAACAATAAAGATAGCGATGATCTGAAAAAGCAACAGGTCAATCATAATGATACAAATACTTCAACTTTTTTAAACATTAAAAAATTGTGAGATATCGACAGAAGGAGAAATATGTTATAAATCCGTGGAATAGCTTTTTATAATCGCATTGCTGAGGAACAGCGAATAACATAAATTAAAAGAAGAAAAAAATGCGTGTATATAAATAAAACATTAACGTAATCGTGGTCTTTGATCTACTTAACGGGGAATACCAAGTACGTTGCACACGCGGAAACTACCTATACAGCGAACCTGTTACGTCCAACTGTTCAAGGTTGACGAACGTGGAACAAATTCAGGGATAGTTTGGTCGTTTAATCGCGAATGTGTCCGAGTTACATCGATTTCCCGTGCTATCCACGTCATTAAACCGACCGAGCCGATTTAACGGACAGTGAATTACATAGCGTTCAGCCCCCCGCAAACAAACGGTTACGCGAATACGAAGCATGTTTATAGGTTTATTACGAATTGCGGTCCGCGTCGCCGCTGTTGTTTCCGGAACGCGTGCGTGGCTGAAAATCGAGGGGGAACATGATTTCTCTCGGTCGGGGGGTGAATTCGGGCACGTGACGTACGTCCGGTCTTGAATCGCTTCGCTAGTTTTTGTTATATTATCCAGGGTAATGCAATCACACCATAAGTAGGCAAGAATTAACTCCTTAGCTTCGAACGTTGCAACGTTGGTTTTAAAAGTGTGTGAAACTCTGTCCCCGATTAATATTTAATTTCTTGCGACAGGATTTTTTTCTTTCAATCGCGATAAGGATTTCTACGTTTTAACTCGAGATATTGGAATATTCAGTGTGCAATTAGCATTCGACGTTGTAATCTTCTGCTTTTTCAGCCTGTTTATGTTTCGTAAGCACATGCTTTTACGACTAATATCGGGAAAATGAATTTTTTGGAAACTTATCCGTGGTACGATCAATCGTTTTGCGTATGTATGACAATTTATAACGCAATGGTGATGTACTAAACAGTCGATCGATATTTTTGTTGCAGAAATAATGAAGAGAGAAGCTGATGCAGGCACTATGACAGGTTCAGGGGGACCGACAAGTCCTCACAAGCGTTACAGACAGGGTGACGATGAGCTTCGTCTTCTGATCCCCAGCAAGGTAAGATTTTATCGGTTTCAAATCGCATCTTGCGAAACCAGTTTTCAAGTCGAGCCTGAGTCGATGAATCGATCATCCGATCTTCTATGAAAGTCGATATTTTAGTATCCGCGAATCGAAGCGAACGATTACGTAAATAGTCGAGAGAAACTACGTAATGTACTTTCTACTTTTTTAAAGAGACTTTGCTTTGAGTACTTTCAAATTTCTGATTTCGACAAAATTTCGAAGGCCATCTTCTTTAAGCGATATCGACATATAATTAACAGTAGAATCACCGACAGTTAAAGCGAAGCTATTTCTACCGAAATCGGTCGAAATGACTGGTTTTTAAAAAATACGTAATAATTACATATTTTTATATTTATCGATTTATTACTTTTTTTACGAAAGGGATTCCATGTTATGTAGTACATTTTTGATATTGTTAATCCATTTGGGACCATGATCCCTGAATGAGGGTTAGCACATTTATAAAATGGTAAAAAGCGGTCATTTTGACTGGTATGTTCTAGCGTCAGCATCATGATCGATCCGGAATTTTTCTGATAATTGATACGTTCATATCGAACGATACGTAGTAAAAATTCTAAAAACGTATAAAAAGTTGTACAAAACGAGGAAACTGGTTAATTCGGGTTTGGTAGATAGATTGTAGGACTCTTTTACGCTTTAACAAGCACCAGTCATTTAGACACTGTATATAGCCACGATACAAAATTATTTTGATTTTGAATGAATAGCAAGAAAGTAAAATTTATCGTATCGTTCCTTTAGTTGTCGCTACATAGGTCATTGCATCACTGCAGGAAGAAAATGTAACACGAAGTGGAAATTTTCAAATAAAATTATAAAACCAGTCATTTTGACAGGTGTTGTAGTACTAGTGTTGATTTTCCCGTCGGTTTATTATAAATCCGTCGCTATTGCGAAGTAGAAAAGTATTCGTGTCTTCGTTAAGCAGTAATTGCAGATTGAATTCATTTTCGTAGTATACATGAATTTTTATTACGCTGATGTAATATAAATAGAATTACCAAATAATCCAAGAGACTATGCATTCGTAACAGTGGGAAAGATATGGACGCTCGTAATTAAACTTCAGAATACATCTCGGATAAAAAGAAATACACTGTCATGAAAATAGGAGGAAGGGAAGAAGGAAGGAGAATCTCGAAAGTGGCGACAACGTTTGTAACGAGGATTGGAAAGAAATTATTTTAGAAGAAACTTTCACTTTTACCTTTCACTGCGACAAATGAAATGCGGTTGAGAACAATACGCTTTTCTGCCAAATATTCTTCACAGTTGAATTTCCAAATAAGATCGCGTAAGATACGTCTTTGCAGCCGTGTTTCTTACGACCAGATAAGGCTTGGCTATACATCTGGATGTTGCCAAGTTTTATTTTCCCACGTGTACAATTTTCCAGCGGTCTGTTCGCGATCGCGTACACATCGTTGGCGAAGTAAAAGCGGCTCGCCATACCGTGTTGTAACTTGGTGTCGGCACGTTCGCAATCGCGGAACGCTGAGTTCTTCCGGTCATTGTCGCTGCGCTCGGCGAACCGCTATCGGATTTCCTTCCGCTTTCTTTCCTCCGGGAAAATTCACGAAATCTTGACGGGATACCTCGCAGTTAGACGGAAATTTTGAAATTCTTTCCGGAATATCTGAAACATTTGCAATCTTAGAATTCCTTATAAAAAGCTTAAAAGGTACGTTTGGTGTAAGTGAGAACGACCAAATATTTTTCACTACTTTGTTTGCAAATATATCTAATATTAAGTTAATCGTTAAAACACTTAAAAATTTCTACTTGTATACAGGGTGGTTGGTAACTGGTGGTACAAGCGGAAAGGTGGTGATTCTACGCGAAAAAAGAAGTCGAAAACATAGAAAAAAAAAAATTTTTTTTTAATTTTTCCATCGAGACAACCGTTATATATCCGTTATAACGTACCGCACGCGTATCGAGTCGATTTTCTCGATTTTCTCGAAAACAAAGCCTCAAACGAAAAATTGTTATTCTATATTTTCGACTTCCTTTTTCGCGTAGAATCACCCCCTTTCCGCTTTTACCACCAGTATACCAACCACCCTGTATTTCTTCAACACGAAAATTCACGATTGCTTCAATTCTACGTTTCTTGGTCATTTGTTTTCGAAACATCGTCGTTTTAAATGATATTAAGCTTTGTGACTAGTCGGAAGAAAAAGTCTTGACACACAGCAGAGAGACATAAAAGGAAACTATGTTGAATATCACGTTCCATATCGAAATTCACCGTGCAATATCTCGCGTCTTAATAAACCGAGATTGCATCTCGAAGAAAGGGGAAACGTGCATCCCAGCAGGGGATCGAGGTACAAAGGAGCAGCTCATTTGGTGACTGCATTTATCTCCTGTCAATTTCACCGGCAGTCAGGTCGATTTCGTTCTCGTTGTGTTCGATCGTGGCTCGAGATCGGTCGCGCACCAACGATCGAGTACAATGTCGATTGCGGCCCGACCGAGACACGCGATCGAAGACTCCGCGAAAACGGCTGTCGGTGTCAGGGTCGATCGATGGATCGCTCCTTTCGAGAGTGATCTCATTCACCATCGCGGAGAGAACGTAATTATCGCGCGCTGCGTTTTCCGCCCGTGCTGTGTTGCAATCGGCTCGCGGTTGTAACTTATCGTCGTTAATCGCTGGAACGTGGCCAGCGGCGCGCATTCAACCGATCGAGAAACGATCGACCTTCTCCGTGGTTCGATTCGCGGCCGTTCCCACAAAAATCGCGCGAGACGAACGAAATTGGAGCATGCGTCTGCTCCATCCCCCGTAGCTGTGTGTCGAGGCCGAGAACTTGAGTCAGCATACTCGATTTTATTTGACGCGAGATTCCATGAAAGAATTGGTCGCGTAAAAACGTGCCCGTACACGATCGATAATGTAGTCGATACTTGTGGCCATTGGCTATGTTGCTGATCGTACGTGGTCGATATTGCAATATTACAGGATTATATTGCAGGATCGATCTGTATTAAATATTGACAGAAGGTAGCTCGAAGTACATTTTTTCGAGAGATTCTTCGCTTTGATATCGAATTAAAAGGACAGTTTTTATGGAAGAAACGATTGTATGTTACAGGTAGCCGGTTCGATAATCGGCAAAGGTGGCCAGAATATCACCAAACTGAGAAGTCAGGTAAGCCGTTGCTTCTTCCGTTTCCGTCGATTCCGTTCCCCTCGATCTTGTTCTCTCTATCGTTCGTCCGTGTTTCGGGGGACAAGTACGAGAGACAGAAGAAGCCGAGTAAACGATTGGAAAGAAAAGAGATAAGATGTTAGACAAGAAGATCGTGAGAACGAATTTTCAACGACGAAATAACCGTGGCGGATATATAATTTCGGATAGTCTTAGTTAATCAAATGTTTGATTTTCGGCGGAGAATCATCGTATTTTCACGAGCTTCTTGCTCCGTTCTCGTTAACTAATCTCTCGTGCGAAGTTCTAGAGGCGACCATGTGACTATCGTCGATCGATCGAGTTCTCCGATTAGCTGGAATGTTTAGGGAGGCTCCGATGAGTGTATTTCTGCAACGTGTGTGCAAACGAGAATCGTGTTAGCTCCGAGGTACAGCGTTTTCTCTCTCTCTCTCTCTTTCTCTCTCTGTCTCTTTTTCTCGAGCGTAGCAGCCCGTTTTTTATTAGCCAATCTAGCAGACTGTTATTATTATCATTATCATTATTATTATTTTGTTTAGAAGGCTTTGAAACCGTTCCTTTTTAACACATACGACAGAAAAGATATGCAGTATATACATACATACACACACACGTACGAAATATCTTCATCACGCATTTTATTTCTTCAACTGGAAAGTTCCCTTCGTTTCCCGCAAAATTTGCGTTCGCTTGACCGACACGATCATTTGTTTCCCTGTTCTCGACCGTTTTTGGAAAATGACTTTGCGCGTCTCGTGGTCCGAGAAAAGCGCGTGGGCGTGAAACCGCAGCCGACCCTGAACGATCGATTAAAGATGCGACTCGAGTAAAGCCTGTTGCACACGCCTTCTGATCCAACCCTTTCGATCTTATCTCGAAAGGATTAATTAACGTTGCTAATGAATCGGAACGAATACATCGCAATACGGTGTAAATCTCATTCGAAAGCTTATTTCAAAACTAAACTCAACTCTGTTGGCGATTCCCAAGCAAAAGTAAAATACGATTGGTAGTTTAATTGCTCGTATAATAATTTATTTGAGCAGGATTATTTTCATATCTAAATTTGAATTTCAATCTGTTAATTACGACCCACGATCGTTCGGTTCGGTCGAGCACGTAACAGGCATTACACTCACGAGTTTCTCGATCGATTTCTTGCGCAACACCGATTGTTCGCCTCGGTGTTTTTTCCACCGACCTTGAGACGCCGACGAGACTCACCCCGCACGAACCAGAACATCGGAGGGACACGACGAAGCAAAGGTTCGCAACTTAGTGTTGCATAGCGCGCGATAAATCGAAGAAGCCAGCCCCTCAACAGTTTCACGAATCGCAGATAACGAAATTACAGCGATTGCAAGCGTTTGCAGCGATCGTTCGTACGGTAGGTTGCTGGTTTTCGCGCGAAGCAGCAGTTAAACGAGAGCTCGAATATCGTCGTACTTGAAGCTCGCGTTTCGATCATTCTTATCGAGCGAATAGGTCCGAACGAACGATGTGTAAAAATCGAGCAAACCGTCGTCGTATACACGATTCATTAGTATGTCTTTGCGCGTGCCTTTTTAAATACGAAGAGCAACCAATACCAGCGAATCAGTTTCACACGATAAAACGTGAAAACGTTGAGAACTCGCAGACTCAGGGACAAAATAGAGTGGATTCGACACAGCGAATGCGTTCGATCGATTTAAAAGTCGGGACCTGAGAATTATGCATGTTGGTTTATCTCTTCAAGAACGGACAAAGAATGTAGCGAACGACCACGGAGGAATCTGTAAGAAACTCTTAATTATTGCTTAACTGCTTATCTCTCGTTAGTTGCAGTTTTATCCAGTATCTCGTAGGAACGCACACGAAGCTTCTCAGTCGTCGTATTCGTTTTGCTCGAAAGAATCGAACGAGCAGCCCATAAAAAAACGTCATCTTAGTAAATAATTCTGAGCGGCAATGAAGTAAACGCGAAATTAACCAACCGCGAACCAGCCATCCCCACTCGATCTTGTCCCTGATCGTACGTACAATCGTGCCAGAGGCGGTTCGTTCGCTTCTGAGCTCGCGTGTTCGTCGAGTTTCGTAGATGACGCGGCTTTCTGCGTGACCCGAAAGGTGGAAGGCCAGGAGGTATATAATCCGAGGAGCGAGAGAAAGAAAAATCTCGGGGGATAATCGTGTTTCGCCGGGGAACATTTTTACCGTCCGCTCGATGTTGCGCCGCTGGTTGCGTCCCCTTTCGCGACGAGTTCCCTGCAGCGTGTATCCCTCGTTTAAAACGAACGAGGGAATCTTATGCTCGAACTACGTCGGTCGGTTGAAGCTGGTCGACGAGGACCTCGAGGAGAAAAATTTCGCCAAGTTGGCGTGGACGGAGAAATATTTGCAAGCGATCGTTTCATTGGGTGGTACTTTCGCCCCACTAGTGGGTTAGGAATCTTCTTTTTTAAAGTCCATTAAACGAAGAAAATTGGACGAAAGTCGGAAGCGTGACACGCTTAGTTTAGTAGGTACGATAAGAAGACGAAGCTTGCTTTTCATTAAAGTTTAGTGTACAAACGAAGTTATGCAAAGGGTTGATGAATAATCAGAGAATGTCCTGTCGCCTAGGGCTGGATTAAATTCGTCAGAGAAAACGACTAATCTCCAGTCAAGGGATTAACACTTGTCACGATCGTGATAAAACACGCCGACCAGCCGATTCATAATTCGAGTACGTGGTGGCTTATAGAGCTCAAAGGAGGAAGACCGGAGTTCTTCGCGAAATTGCATGTTAATTATTAAAACTTCCTCTAATTAGCCACGCTTAAGCGACTTCGTTAGCAATTGAAATGCCGCGAGAATCGGCCTCGAGGTTCAGCCGGCGTCAATTAACTGCTGAAAGAGGGAAAGAACGATGGGAAGGGGAAGGGGGTGAGGTATGGCAATGAATGCCGTTTTCAGAATATTTACAGCAACGTGGAAATAATGGGCGTTGATCCGCTGCGGACAATGGGGTTGTATTTTCTTGTGTTTTCCGTCGAAGACGGCAAGATCGTCCTCACAGTCACTTGTAAATCATTTTTCTTACCGATTTCATTCTCCATTAGCGTGGCTAGAATTTTCATCGGACCGTCGCCATTTCCAACGAGTGTTTCACTAGCAGAGTTTACGAGAAACGTACGTTAATAGAACATATAATACCACACATTGCACCTTGCAAATATTTCTCCGATCGATCGCGCGACTCGAAAAAGGAAGCAATCGTAATAGTCACGGGGAAAAACAGAATTTCGGGGTGGGATGGGGGTTGCACGAACAATTCACGCAACCCGTAAAGTAGAATGGAAAGAGACAAGGGGTTAGAAGATTAAGCCGCGAAAATTAATCCAGCCGTGAAAGACGTGATGTCTAACTTGGTTGATGATTTGTGCCCTGGCCCCGCCCCAACCCCGGCCTT